TGAAGTAGCATATTTAAACTTACTGGAGTGCCTGGCACATCATAATTACTCCATAAATGTTAGCTGCTATTGGACACCAAAGTGAATGATTTCATTCGCAAGTGTGACTTTATATATAATACTTGGTAGTAATCCCAGGTTAAGCCTGATATGTTGCTGTCTGTACTGTAATTCATTATTAACTCTTCTGCTAAGAATAGCCCTGAGTCCGCACGAAGTTATAAATTATATGTAAACAGTGTGACTCAGAAGTCAAAGTGGATTACAGATAGCAAAGAATCTAAACTTGCCTCTGATGAATCACTAAACTCTACCTCTGAAACTAATAATACACTGTATGGTAATTAATTGATTTGAAGTCTAAAAAAAAAAAAAGATTAAATAAATAAATAAGATAAACTTGCCTCTAACACATTTCAGACCGAGAAGGAAGAACACCTTCTATGGCATAGGGGTTAAAAGAATCAAGCCTGGGACCAGATTGCTGGCTTTTTCTTCTGACCCCACCCTTTACCAGCTCTGTGACTTTAAATAAATTATTTGACCTCTCTGTGCCTGAGATTCTTCCTCTGCAGAGTGGTAATAAGAATATCTATCTTGGCGGGTTGTTATAGAGCTCACGCGAACACACACGGTCCTGTATGGAAAGAGTTTATCCTCTAAAGGAAACATGCAAAGTGCTTGGAGTAATGCCTGGCACAAAATGTGCCCTAGCCAAGGGATTGCTGGTATTCATATTTGTGTATGTGTGTATTTTGGCAGGATTTTGATTTTTAAGGGAAAATAAATCACAAAACGTGAGAAAAAAAAATTTTTTTTTTTTTTTGCCTTCAGGTTAGAGTTCGATACAGTTTTGTCTTACCTAAACTATGTAAGAAGGAAAGCCTCCCACTCCACCCCCACCAGAACTTCCTTAAAAATACAATAGGCATTTCGGGGCGCCTGGGCGGCTCAGTTCGTTGAGTGTCTGCCTTCGGCTCCGGTCATGATCCCGGGGTCCTGGGCTCGAGCCCCGCATCTGCTCCCTGCTCCGCGGGGAGCCTGCTTCTCCCTCTGCCCCTCATTCGTGCTCTTTCTCTCTCTCTCTCACTCTCTCTCTCTCAAATAAATACATAAAATCTATCTATCTATCTATATAAAATAGGCATTTCATGTATAACCTGAGTTAGTACTTTGAAGACAGTATAGCCTTTAATGATGTTCTAGTGAAAAAGAAGTCCCTTTCTTGCAGAAGAACTCTGTACACCGCGTCATGGACTTGGCCACGGCCAAGTTCTGTGGTCTTTTCTCGGTGCATTGTCCCTTGGTCTTGCTCCTGCATTGGACAGTACTGACCGCTGAGTTTTTGCACCTGCCCCTTTCCTGGGCAGGAGGTGTAGACCCGCACTGCTGTGGGCCCTGTTCCTGATTTCCCCAGGCATGCGTGCCAGAGCCCAGGTCCTGGGAGGGCTGTGTTCCCAAGGCTCCTGTTTGCCCTCCCGACCCTCGCATACCTCTGCTGTTGTCCCAGCGCAGGTCTAGGTCCTGTCCCCAGAAGCCTGCTGAGGCTTGCCCTGGAACTCCTTCTCACCACATCGAAACTCAGCTCCCAGGGTTGCAGCGTCACCACACGGCGCTCAGGCCTTGGGATCAGCCGGTGGCTGCTACCTCTGACTCAGCCCTTTGCATTCCTTTCTTTAACTGCAAGTTCTGCTTGGTTTATTCCCCGGACGCGGCCTCGCTGTTCCCCACCCTTCTAGGTCAGAACCTAGGAGATGTTCCCCCAGCAGGTGCTCTTCCCCGTTCATCTTCTTCAGCGCCCCCAAGACTTGGCCCTTTGCAGAGCCTTCCTGTGTCCACTTCTTTCGAGTGCAGGTGCTTCTGTCTGGCTCTCAGCAGTGTCTGTCACTTACCTTTAAAGCTGCAGGTCCCCCCACCTGCCCGTGTCCCACTTGGGCCCGCTTGGACTCCGCTCCGATCTGGTGTTTTGCAGATGCCTTCGCAGAATCCCATGCACCGCCTTGTATTCACCGTAGCCCTGTATCTCTCCCGGCCTCGAGCAGCCAGGGCCTTACACCCAGTGCTTCCCGTTCCTTGTGCGTGGCTTACAAACGCGTGTGAGGTGTGCGGCCGCTGTGTTTCTCAGGTCCACAGCCGCAGGGACTATTCTTGAAGCACTCTGAAATTAGAGCCAAACGTAACATAGCATCTGGAATCCCAAAAACACACAACCGCTGAATACTATCCCCAAAGGAGACCAGATGGAAAACAAGCCGCTCAGACTCCTTATTTGATGAATGAGCAATGTGAACCCCTCAGATGCATATTTTTAAATGTAATAGTTATATATTTAGATTTACGGGTACCTTCTATTCATGGCAAGTGGTTATCTAGTTGCTATTTACATTGATACAAAGTTTTATTTTACAATACATTTGCTTTAATACATTAGTATTAAAAATACTAATTTAGAGGGGCTCTTGGGTGGCTCCGTCAGTTAAGCATCTGACTCTTGATTTCAGCTCTTGATTTCTTGATCTCGGGGTCCTGAGGTGGAGCCCCGCCTTGGGCTCCGCTCAGCAGGGAGTCTGCTTGGGATTCTGTCTCTCCCTCTCCTCTGTCCCTCCCTCCCACCCACTTGCGCGTGCAGGCATGCTCTCTCTCTCTAAAAAAATTTAATTTAGAGAAATATTAAGCAAATAATTGTACTCAAGGAAATATGGCACCAATTGTAAAGGCAAAACTTTTACCTTTGAAAACACTGCAAAACATTGTGTTTACAGTCTGTACTTAATAAATGATTATTGATTGGCTGATTGTTCATATCTCTCTTCCTAACAAACAGCCCTCACTCGTTTCCTATAAGCCCCCTGTGACCAAATGAGCAGACAGGTAATTCTCATGGCTGCATTTTTAGCATAAGGTCTGGGGAGGAGGGCAGGGAAGGGTCAGCCGGGAGACGTTGTCTGTTGGCGCCCGGGAGGCCGTGCGTGACTGAGCTCACTGGAGGTGGCCACAGCCCCAGAGCTGTCACTCATGTCCTGGTGTCCAGAGAAGAGCTCCTGCCAGCCCCCGTGGTCCTCCAGCACTCTCCCCTGCAGAAGCGAACTGGGCAAGCGCAACACGCTGAACACTGAACAAGTAAAAACTACATATATATATTTTGTAATTCCTGTCCGCACAGGAACATTTGTGAAAGGGAGAGAAGCCTTCGCATGTCACTTGCTTCTTCCCTCTCCCTTCCTCTGTTATTGGGGACACTTTGCCAGCCACCCTGGGCAACCCCACCTTCCAGGGGTTTCCACCAGCAATTTAAGCCTCCCTGACCAGGCTCGCTGAATTAGACGGCCTCAAAGTAAACTCTCTGCGGGAGAACGCAAATAGGCTGTGGTAGGAGGTCCACTAATGGCAGGGTATGAACAGCCAAAATCTAAAATGCAAAGAGCTCTGGATATTGGGAAAGATATAACAACAGACCTACCCAGAGTGAGGTCAGAGTTCACAGGGGAAGGGCACAACGCCTTCGAGACCACACTTCAGACACCAGCCGCAGATTGGGAGGGGGTACCAGTCAACCCATACTTCTTACCAACTGGCTGTAGATTCAGGGCCTCACATAAACCCATCGGGTTTGATAATTTGCGAGGCCGACGTAACGCCTCAAGAAAGCGCTATCGTTACAATTATAGTTTTACTGTTAAGTTTGTGCAGGGTACAAATCAGGACCAGCCAGATGAAGAGACAGCTGGGATGAGGTCTGGGAGGGTCCCAAGCATGAAGCTTTCACGTCCTCAGGACGCGTCACCTCCTAGCACATCCGTGTGTACACCGGCCAGAAAGTTGGCCCAAGCCTCTGGGACCAGGGTTTCTATCGGGCTTTCATTCTGCAGGTGTGACTGATAGGATCACCGACGGTACAACTGGACCCAGCCCCCAGTGCCCCTTTCCTCCAGGGAGATGGGGAGGTCAGGCTGATGTCAGGGCTCCAAGCTCTAACCCTGTAACCACAGGGTTGGTCTTACTCGATAGCCAGCCACCGTCCTGGAACTGTTTAGGGGCCCACGGCTCACGTTGGTTGGCTAATCACTTCATTAGTGTAAACTCAGGTGGGGTCCCCAGGGCCCACCATGAATAACAAAGACCCTTCACCCACCTGGAAAATTCTCAGGGGAGAGCGGTTCCCTGTTAGGGAACCCAGGACAAAGACCGGACAAGTTCTTTATGATACAACACACAGAAAATAGAGTAAGAATCAGGCCTTTAAGAGCGCCTGGGTGGCCCAGTCATCTGCCTTCGGCTCCGGTCATGATCCCAGGGTCCTGGGATCAAGCCCCACGTCTGGCTCCTTGCTCAGCTTGGAGTCAGCTCCTCCTCCCTCTGCCCCTCCCCCTTCTCGTGCTCTCTCTCGAACAAACAAACAAACAAAAACAGAATCGGGCCTTTAAGTCACCAAAAACGAAGGCAAAGAAATAATGATTTTTATGATGGAGAAACCACCGGCAAATGTTTGAATTACAAATAAGTGGTCACTAAGCCCCGTGAGATTCTTTTATGTGTTTCGTTCACTTGTCCATTCATGCAACAATACTTATTGAGTCCGACCTGTGCTCACCACTGAAGCTATGCCGTGATGCTGTCAGGGTAAAGAGAAAAAGAAAGAAAAAAAATTTTTTATTACATGGAAGGAGGAACTATTTGAAATTATTTATTTTCATATTGATCTGAATGAACCCGAGTTCCGAGATAACTGTTCATTTTCCTTGTCACAAATTATGTTAAAGGAGCTCTCCAAGTACCAAATGTTTCGCAGGTAGTGTGGGTCTGCAGCGGCCGGGGAGGTGGGGGGTCGTAGAAGGAATGTGGATGTTGCTTGTTTAGCCGGAAGGCTGCCGTCTGGCCTTCTGCTGTTAGACAAAACTCAAGAGACGTGCTTTAACATGAGATGTTTTTAAACTGTTCTTTGTTTGCTTTCTTGTAATTGGAGCAACATACTAATTTCTACCAGTTGTGACTACTAACAGAGAGCAATCACCTCACAGACTTGTACCGAAGACACGAGACCATCCAGGTGACAGGACACGGCCACGTGCAGAGCCCTCGCTTCCCCAACAGCTACCCCAGGAACCTGCTCCTGACCTGGCAGCTCCAATCGCAGGAGAAAACCAGAATACAGCTTGCCTTCGACCACCAGTTTGGCCTGGAGGAGGCCGAAAATGATATCTGTAGGTAAGTGGGGAGAATCCCTTTCAGGGGCACACTTCCCAGGTGAAGAAGAGCTGGATTTAAGGCATCACACCAGACTTCCCTGGGGGGAGGCCCCGAGGACCTACCTGAGGCGCGTCGGCCCCCCTCCTTTTCCCAAAAAGCCTTTGTGTCTGTCCGTCCTGGCGGATGGAACACGCTGGAGTGCCCACGGCCTCTGCAGAGGGCCTGCTTACCTGGTGCCTCTCCCGGAAATGCAGGCCCACAACTGCCAGAGAAGGGGGCCCCCCCGGAGGCCCCGCTCCAGCCAGGCCCCGAGCGGCCTTTGTGAGCAGGTAGACGCATCCAGTGTCCCACATCACCCACAGCCACGTCGGTGGCTCTGGTGCAAGCCTGCTCCCGGCTCCCGGGAGCTCAGCCAGGCAGCCGTCCCGGGTGCATGGTCCTGATCGCCCCCCGCACGCTGGGGGAGGGTGATGGCGAGGCCCGGATCCTGGCTGCACCCTGAAACCTCAGGCCTCACAGCTGTCAGCCCCAGGCTCTGGGAGCCCCGCACACCGTCTGTTTCCGGTCCTTCCTGGGTCAGCGGTCGACAAAAACCGTGCCTGAGAATCTTCTCCCTTCCAAGCGTATTTATCAGAGAAAGTCCTGGCTGTTCCTTGAATGGTCTGCGCCCAGCACCATATTCACCTAATTAGCACACACTAGGCCGGGGAGGGTGTGATTCCTCCCGGTACCTCACCGCACGCACTCCTTCTCCGTTGCCGACGCCCTGCCCCACGGCTAAATCCTTTCGGCAGCGTTATTTCCCTTTGGCTCAGAGAAAGAGGGTGCCTCAAATCTGGCCGTCCTTTGTTGCATGTTTATTATGCTGACAGCTTTTATTACGTGGCTGTTGTTTGCAAGAATAACAGCAGTGACGATTACTTTCTAGGACCACAGAGGGTAATGCATGCCAGAAATCAGACACAAATACAGGCAGAAGAGCCCGTTAATATTTACAAAGAGAACAAACTCAAGCAGATCTCATGTTTCAACATTGAAAGGGAGAACTCATTTTCTGTGCTGGAAAAAGAGATGGTGGGAGACTTTTTTTTTTTTTTTTTTTTGGAGACTAGGAGGTGATGATGACCCAGACGGGAAGGCGGGTCTCTGCTGCTGAGCTGGGATTTTGATCCTGGTAGGGAGAGAGCTCTTTCAGCACCCCGGCCTTGAAAATAGAAGATGCTAGGGTGGTTTCCTTTCGGGGCCCTTCATCAAAATCCAGTTGCTTCCCCAAATTTACGGAGGCAGGTAGAGAAGTATGATGTGGGAAAGGGGAGAGGAATGCAGGAAGGAGACACATCAGAGCCTCAGACCCTCCCGGCGAATTAATGTGATGCTCTCTTGACTTCATCCAGAGTAAAAATTACACTGATGTTGTGTTTTCCAAAAAAAAAAAAAAAAAAAAAATGAAAGTAACCTATGGTGTTATTAACAGTTTCAAGTATACTCATGCTTTGTGCAGTAACTATGATTTACCGCATATTGTATATAAAATAAAATGCAATTGATTTCCTACCATCTGTTCCAAAGCCTCCTTGATGTTTACACTGTAATATTTTATTGCTTGAATAATGATTCTTTGTGAGTGCTTTTCACCTTTCAAGCACCATAAAAACATTAACTAATTAATATACACCACACCCTAGAGATATCCAGCTAGTAAGTTTGTATAAACCTCTTATTTTGCTCATAAGGAAACTGAGGCAAAGGAATTAAGGGACTCGTGAGTCACTTCAGTGAAAGGTAGTCATGATACGGACATTGGATAAGTTGGGTGGGTGATAAGTTGGGTAGTGTGTGATGAGTTCACCCACTCCTGAGATTACCCTCCCCGATTCGGTAAGAGCTGTGTGGTGGATTCCCTTCACATTCACCTGTGATGTTTCTCACGCTGATTCCTTTTGGCAGTCGCGACAGAAAATCCCCGGTGCGTTGAGCTTGCAGCCGCTCCTCACCCTAAGTGCTCATCCTCTGCATTGTGACTTTAGCATCCCGTGTCATTTGGGGAGAGGCAGAGACTGATGCCCAGAACTGAAGGTCAGGTAGTTCAGCTCACCAAGGAGACTGTCCCAAGATTTGGGGTGTCTGAAAGTAAGAGAGATGATCCCTAGAAGGTGTACGCTGTCACTGAAGATGCTCTACTGTGTGACGGAAAGGTTATATGGGACACTCAGAGAGGGACTGTCCCCTGTCCTTAACCTTGGCATTCTGTGTTTCTCTGCCCAAAGTCAGAGCTGAAACTATGGTCTTCAGCATATTTACACACTGGTTTAAGCATCCGAAATATTTCCAGGAATGGTTAGGGCACATCCCTCCCCAAAGTCATAATGCTTTTTACTATGAAAACTGTCCTATTTTATGATATGATACTTCCAAAAGACAGTTTCCAAAAAGAGAAAATATTGATTTATTTTATTTTACCATGTATTTTCTATAATGGGATGATATAATGTGATGCTGATTCCATATGCTGTGTAGATACAGGTCCTTTCTTAAGGAAGCACTGAATGTGGTGAATTAATTCAAAGTGGGAATTTGTTTGAAAAACTTTATACAGTAAATATTTGGACATATAATTAGAGCTATATCTCCAAAAATAGGACAATAGATGACAATAGATTGTAGCTACTAGTTCTCCTAGGAAACCCTTACAAGCCTTATGCTCAGAAGGTGGCCCATTTTAATTACTGATGATTTGGGAATACTCGTGGCTAAATGTGCACAGGGCTCTTTCAGATTATTGAAGTTTGAATTTGAAAAACTTAATCCAAAAAACTAGGTTTCCTTTCAAAATTTCAGCGGGCTTTAATTTTCATTTTAGTTAGTAGGTCATGAGAAGTCACAAATGTTAGTTTTAATTTCTGAGTAGAAGTATGAATTTCAAAGTCTACTGTAATCAAAACACATTTATTTATGTCAAATTGAAACTAGGTATGATTTTGTGGAAGTTGAAGATGTATCTGAAACCAGTACCATAATTAGAGGACGCTGGTGTGGGCACAAGGAAGTTCCTCCAAGGATAACATCAAGAACGAACCAAATTAAAATAACATTCAAGTCTGATGACTACTTTGTGGCTAAACCTGGATTCAAGATTTATTATTCTTTTGTGGTAAGTAGCCTAAACCACCCTGCAATTAAAAGCAGACACTGGTTTCATGAGGTATGAAGATATCTTCTGTGATTAAATGCGGTGGTGTGAGGGTGAACTTCACCAATTCTCGGTGGTGCGCTGTGTTCCTACCCTACAGCCAACACAGTAAAGCTTTCTTCTGTAAGGAACACCACCGTGGATCGATTAAGTCAACCCTCGGGTCCACACCTTTTTTTTTCTTTTATTATTTTATTTTTTTAACTTTTACCATTGTTTCTTTTTTTTATGTTATGTTAGTCACCATACATTGCAACATTAGTTTCTGAAGTAGTGTTCCATGATTCACTGTTTGCATGTAACACCCAGGGCTCCACGCAGAACGGGTCCACACCTTTTGAAAGGAAGCATGGTAAATAGAAAAAGTAAAATAGTTGATAGTAAAGCAGTTTTTCCTTTGATTCAGCTAAAGTAGGATAAATGTACAGCCAAAAAAAAAAAAAAAAGGGCAGTTGAGAGTTGACCATCTTTGGTTCAAAAAGTTGTCTGTGTAATTCCAACCCCAGAGAAGAGTCTGAATGATTTTAGTTTAAGTTCTGATCCAAACTGGGGAAGGGTCTGTGTTATGGTCATAGAGCCTCAGAGGTAGCCAGCCTCTTGAAGATCGTAAAGCCCCAGTACGGACCCCAGAGTTGCGTACTGGCTGCTGTGCCCGTGCCTAGGTGTGATCTCGTCTCTCCTACAACACGCCGGCCGCCGTCCCCAACTCCAAGTGGCTCTGACTGGGGGAAACTGCTTCCTACAACACGCCGGCCGCCGTCCCCAACTCCAGGTGGCTCTGACTGGGGGAAACTGCTCAGCCTCTTACTGAGTCAAAATCTACATCGTCGTTAATTCCAGTCACACGCCGTCAGGTGTCTGCTTTACTCACGTGGTCATTAATGAGACACTAGAAAGTTCCTGCTCGTCGTCAGACGCTCCGATAGGTGTCGTGGCTACACAGGTGGGCAGGACAGACAGGGTTCTTGAACCCCCGGAGTTTATAATCTGGTGGGGATGACAATCAGTTACAAACCCACGGGGAGTGAGAACAATGAGTAATGAGTTAAGCTCAGGGAGACACTGGGATAATTTTACCTATTTGCTGTCTTAGAAATCCATGAATCCTTCATGTTCATAGCATGATGCCTTTTGTTTTCCCACAAACACATTTTATTCCCATTCAACTTGACTCTGGCCCTTTTAAAGTATGGATATCAAAATAGAACACAGCGCTATGAATGGAGTCAATCTGTGTTTTTGCTCCCCTCTTATGTTAAATTTTGAATGGAAAAAAACCTTGCTTTTTATAGCTGATGTGGGTGGTTGTTTTTTGTTTTGTTTTTTTATTTTTACACTACAGTGAGTTTTTAAACACTAAGTGAATTCTACATCAGAATAAATGAAAAAATAGCATCAGGTGACACTGATTCCAGTTTTAATCCTAAAATAATCCATCAAGCAACATTTACATTATTGCAAACACACAGTGCTGCTCAGCATTAAAATTGAAGTGTGACCCTTTGCTTTCTACATTTCTTTCTTTTAATGTGTCCAGTGGTGCATCTCTTCTCTGCTGTTCATGGACAAAGCAGGCGTGGCATGTTGGAATGATGATGGATAGGCTTAGTGAAGGACCTTTTTTCCCTTAAAATACCAAGCACTATTCCTGCTAATGGATATACTTTTTGTAGAACTTTGGTTACGACTACATCGAATGGTTCGTAAGTCAGCTAGAAATACCCTAACTCTAATACAGTGTCTCTAAGGCAAAATAATTCCTTTTTTGGTTTTGTTTTTGGTAGAAAAGACAGTACAGGTATGGATTTAGGGAAGAATGAATTCTCCTGTTGGAGGTGTTTGGGGTTATGGTGCAGGCTCCTCGCTCATTTACTAGCCAGTGGTAAGTGGCCTGTTGAACAGCCTCTGTAGTCGGCATGGAAACTGGCATCCTTCCACGCCCTTACTCATTCACCTCCACCAGGACACTCAGTTGTGGGTTTTAGGAATGACGATAATGATCACTTCTTTGCATATTTCCCTGCTGACCTCTTGGTCTGCATTCACTGAGAATAGCTCCGGGCTCCTTTTCTGCTCCTAAAAGCTTTTGGCACTAAATGTGACCACCTAGAGCCAAAGTGCTTTGGTGGCTGAATCCCCAGAGGTAGAATGAGCGTGTGTATAGACTGTAGATCTCTGTGGCTTTTGATAAAACTTCATTTGATTCTTGCTCAACAGGGATAGAAGATCACTATGGCTCAAACAGTGTATTGGGAAGATCATTTTATTTGTGTTTAAGTTGTACTTGCAGAGACTTCAAAGCAGTGTTTAGAACAGACTCTACAGAGACTGGGCTTAAAGCCTAAAGTTGGCCAACTATACGCTAATATGGAGACAGGGGGATTAAAAATGGCAAACCCTCTTTAAGTGATATCGAAATTATTATTTTTACAATGTTACACTGACCCAGAAAACTTCTTCTAAGGGTTGGAGACAGCTGTTTTGTAAACCCTACCTTCAGGCATGGTAGGTTCCAAGGACGTTTGAGCCTGAGAGTAGTTCCTGAGGAGTCGGAGTTCACTGGGAAGATGGCAAGTAGCCATCTCGATAGGTCATGACCACCTCCTTTCTCTTCTGTCCCTTTTCACATCTCTGCTTCCCATGGAGCATCTTTCTTCCTCACACCTCAGTGACCCTCCGGGTGTACGGGAATGTTCTCTGGGGCTGCAAGTAATAGGTGCCCAGGACCACAGGAGCCCTGTGCACTGGAATCAAATCTACATGGTCTCGGCTCATATGTTTGGAATACCAAGTCCAGTGTAGATACTTAGTCAGTTTGTTATTCCAGCAAAGTGTGGGAGACTAACGGTTAATACCAGGATCATTTATTTTTCATTAGGAGTGGTTCATGTATTACAATTGTGTTTGATAAGCTTGGAATTCGATCTTCTACCTTTTTCTACAGCACCTGTCCCAGTCTCTTTTAGAGAAGGCTGTGTAGCCTCAGGGGACCAGTTGTCCTGTAAAGCTCCCTTTGGGATGAACAAGGTTTCCCTACTTACTAATGGTCTGATATTAAACAAGTCTCTTACCCTTTGCTTTTACATCTATAAAAGGAGGCTAATAATTGGAGTTGGTGTGTGGTTTTTAGATGGTAACACATACTTGGTGGTCAGTAAATAATGGCGTTAATGATCCTACATTTACCATCACTAATTGTGTACATATCTGTCTCTTCAGATTAATGGTATCAAAGTTCAACTGAGTAAATTTTACAGATTATGTTGGCTTTATTCAGTGATTCACTCATCACAGAGTGTCCAATCTAGCAGACAGGAAGGGGCTCCGAGGAGCTGTGCAAACAGAAAGACTTTTATGGCAGAAGGGAGCAGAAACAAGGAGGTTATACTAGGCAAAAAACTGAGTTCATTACTGCAAGGTTACTTTTCCTTGGAAGATAGCAGGGGTCTATCAGGCAGATTGTATAACTAGTGTTGATCAGGAGATTCCTGACTGACTGGTTTAAGATTCCATTTCTGGGAAAGCCAACACTATAATTAAGTCTCAGTTTGGTAACCTGGAGCTTAGCATAAGTGACTCCATTTTAAGCCTGTTGCCTTATTTTCAACAATGGTAATGAACTATTCAAGGGTAGGACAACTGTATTCCTGTGAGTATTCTACACATGCCTTCTACATGGCTAGCTAGTGTATTTGTTGAGTTGACTCTATCCTGATAAAATATGATTCAATAGAACTGCCTAATTTCATTTTTTGTGATTCTCCCCAGCCTTCTTTCCTTAATTTTTACTCTACTGAGGAGAATAGGTAAACTTCAGAGGGCATAATTATTTTCAAATACTTGTTAGCAAGATGTGATTGTCTAAATAAATGAGGCTCTCCCACCTCAGATACAGTTTGTTGGGGAATGAATGGATGGCTGGTCAGGAATCTGTTTTCGAAGACCATTAAGTAGGTTATTGGAAAGGTATCCAAATACAAGACTCCCAGTGGATGCTTTTCAGAGAAGTCAACAACCAACGGTATGAATTTCAGCTCTACGGCTCACTGCAGTTTCTTCATCCATAAAATGATGGTAATACTGCCAGACATTAAGTAGTTGCAGGCTTTAGATTAGAGAACTTTTGTAAACTGCCTAGAACTTATTAATTACTTAAATATCTACTATTCTTATTATCATTGGTATTATTATTAACATATCAGGTGACAAGTGAACTCCTCGGTCCTAAACAAACAGCGCAGGTGTCAGTGAGAGGAATGCACATATATATACACCTCTAACCATAGTCCCTTCCTCCCATCCAAGTTAGAAACATCTTATTGTACATTGTAACAAACATGAGAACTTTTGTTTGTGTGTGTGTGCACATATGTGTTTAATGTAAGGTACATTTTTTAAAATTCAAAAACAAAAACATAAAGTCATTCTAAAGCTATTCAAAAACTATTTTTTATTAACAAATTGTAGGTTATTTCATAACTTGGAATTTGCTAGTACCTCTTATAAACAATTAAAAAGCAATTTTATCAGGCCAGTTGCTTAACTATATATCTCTGTAGTTTGAATTAATTTTAAGTGGTGAAGTTAAGATTTCCGTTGAGATTGAAACTCTGGATGAATTGTGGTTTTAGAAGCAGGAGAGGGAGAAGGGAAAGAAGAAGAGGAAGAGAAGAAAAAGGAGGAATAAAAAAAAGGAGTTGAATAAGATAGGATTCTCAATTCCAACAACTTTTGCAGATTCTAATTTTGTTCAACTAAACCTTACCAGTTGGTTGAGCAAAAACAAACCAATGGTATGGGCAGTTCATCCTTATTCCCCGAAGCTGAATTCTCAGACAAAGCTGGAGAGTGAAGAACCCCATTCACTTTCTTTGTAAAATGTGTGGAAAGTCTTAATTTGCACAGTCAGATAAAAAATTGTTGGATATTCTGAACATGTATTGGGACTCTGGCCACACAGT